TCTTTTTTCTTTTTCTTTTTGTTTTGTAATACTCTGAAAATCTTAATAAATATCTTTTTTAAAAAAAACAAATGTTGAGAAAGGGCAGTGGGTACCTGTCACAAAATGGCTGCAGTGGGAGTGTGGCATTAAAGAAAATGGCTGCAGTTGGGACTGTAGGAGATGACTAGCCAGTGCAAACAGGAACTGAGAAGGAAGAGGAAGCGTGCACTGTGGCTTTCTGAGGAAATACTTACTGACACCTTCCATGAGGCAAACCAGAAAATGACACACACATCTGCCACGCAACCTGACAGTCACCAGGTGATCACTACCATCACCTATGGCATCCCCTCTTAATCATTTGTAATGTACTTGTTTTGTGTTGTTGAGCACACGTTGAGCAGTAAGTTGGGCTCGATGACCTCCAAAGTCTGTTCCAACCCTAAAATGTGATTCTAATCAGAGGAAAAGCCCCAGATCTTTGCAATTTAACAATGCAGTTTAAGGAGCTTGTAATAGTGAGGATTTTTACTTGGGTGGAAAAAGTTCCGTTATGTTTGGGGTGCTTACCCTTGTGAAAATGTGCATAGATTTGTTTGTTTGTGGGTGGTTAAAAACCCCCACCTCCAACCCCACCCTACCAAACCTAGCCTTTAGTCTGGGGGGGGGGGGACAGTGGGTTTGATAATATTAAAAATACAAAACTAAGATAACTGCAGGATTAGGTTTACAGGATTGCAGTCTGAAATCAGAAGCCACTCAAGCACCTCCAAATCTGTGATCCTAGGCATGCTTAGCATTTGAGTAAGTCCAATTCAGGATGATGGCGCTTACCACTGAGTCAACATATGCAGGGGAATGTATTGAACTTTCTAGCGAAAGATTGGCATGCTTAATTATTCCATTGAAATCAACGGGAGCCGAAATGGTTCAATTGATATCAAAGTCATCTCTCTCTCCCCTCACCCCCAGCCCTATAAGTTTTACACTGGGGGAAGGGTGTTGGGAGGGTTCCAATCGATCAATGTGAGCAAATGCAATTGCATCAAGTCAGGCTAGAGACAAGGGATGTGAGTGGATATGGGGTATTACCAAAATTGTGTGTTTGAGGACACACTTGAAGGGATAGAAGAATGTTTAGTTGCAGACTGGTATTTTGGAAAGAAGCTCTGGGGACAGCAGAGGAGAATGGAATAAAATAAAAATGAAAAATCTTCTGAATGGAACTTCCAAGCATATCCATTTACTTTATCCCACTTCCAGTCTGTCAAAAGAGAGATGAGAATCCCTTTTGAGAATGCAGATCCATTGATCCCAATCCACTTCTGTCAAATCAATCTTGTTGGTTTTAGCAGCACCATTATATAGAGTTCAATGGGACTTACAGCCCAGTCCTATGAATGCTTACATAGCTGCAAGCGCTACTGAGTTCAGAGGGATTTGCAGCTTGAACCTACCTAGTGATGCTCTGGTCTGTTTTATAGCCTCTCCCACCATTTGCTTCTTTCCACCACTGCCTCCTCCTGCCACCACGCTTTGACTTTCTTTCCCTAACAGTGTGTGCCTGCTATGTTAGGTACCAGTCAGGGTGGGAGGAGGTGAGGTAGGACTTCAGTCTGCCGCCCCTCCCAAAATCATCCGCTGAAGCATCCTCCTTAGTTGGGCTCATTGTAGAGCCAGCAATGATAATGACGGATGCATTGTAGGAGAAACTGATTGGGAAGTAGCATAGCCGATCTGCCGTAAGAGGAACACTGTAAGGGAAGCCAATGGGGACTGTCCATTACTTGCTCAACTAAGTAGTAATTAATTTGAATCTTGGGTTATACGGGAGTAATGATGAGCAACCCTTGGGAAGCGTCTAGGATGACAGATTTCTGGGGAAGAATAAAGGAAGGCTGCGACGGCGCACATGAAACAAATCTGCGTGATGCTCAGGAATGGAAGGGATAGGGCATTTGCAGTGTCCTGATACGACTCCCAGGAATTGAAGAGTAATCCTGTTTGAAAAGCTCCTGGAGGCAAGAGCTGCAAAAACTATGCAGTATATGTGTCAGCCCAATGGGGGGCTTGTTATGCCTGTAGTAGGCCTAGTGTTTTGCAACATCAAAGACAAGCCCTTCTGTACTATGTGATAGAGCCAAACTTCTTAATTATGTATTGAGACCAGATGATTTATCTGGCACTCTCAGGACCCCCATTGAGGCATGTGTGGCAAAATCCATTACGTGACATGTAACGCTGAGAGCCTCGCAAGAGACATAATTGGGTAATGGGGAAATCCAAGAATAATGGGGGCAGTGACAAGTATTAAGAAGAAAGCGCCTTCATAGTGGAAAGGACAAAAAAAGAGGATTTCTGTCAGTCACAGCCAGCCTTTATCTTGTTGCAAAGTTGGAATTTTAAACTATTGGGGGTATGTTTGTGCAGCAGTCTAGAATTAAACAAAGAGGACCCTGCAGCAAAATGTTGCAGCATGCAGTGCTTTAGTTCAGGATTGCAGCTGCTCCTTCTCATTCCATCTAGAGATGACATGGGGGGGGAATGCACTTTCCTTCTTGCAGTCTGCATGCCCCTGCCATTTCATCCTGCACCTGTTTCTCCTTCCTCATACTGCAGGTTGTAGCAGTGGAAAGCCAGCGCATGCCATGGATTACAACTAGTAAGTGTCACACCTTTCGGCTGACTATAGGGGACTATAGGGTTTTAAAAGAAATAAATGTGCTTAGAGGGCACAACAGTGATGTACAAACATTGGCCAAGCGGGTATTGTAGGCTTTTGAAACGCTACAAAACTTTATTGACTGGAGGTGACTATAAGTTGAGTGCAAACCCCATGAGAAGTGAATCCTCTGCCAAAATTAGCTTTGACCGTCGGGAAATACAGAACAAAAACTACCGTCCCTTGGACAGATAGTTAAATAAATAAATAAATAAATAAACAAACCAAAGGGTTTGCTTTCAAGAGATTGTTTGTTCTGCTTCCAATTTAGTGCTCTGCCTGAAACTACTCAGGAGAGCATTGCCTCCTCTCACTTACAGCTTCCGTTCCTCTTCCAAATCCCTTCCCCAGCCTGTATTCCATTGTGCTCTATGAAGGCTGAGGTGGTGGGAGGCAACTGGGTTTGTGAAGGAGGTGGATGTGAAGCAAGATGCTTCTCTTGGTCTCCTTGAGCCTTCTTAATGGTCCCAAGCTGCCCAGGATCAGATGTGGGACAACTGGGTGAGCCCAACATTCAGCTCCAGATTTAGTATGGCGCTGGTGGTTCCCCCGTACAGGGTGCCAAACTGAGGGGGGCGCAAATTTGAGAAGATCCATAATTGAGAAGATCCATTTGGGAGAGACGGATTTTGGGCTCACTCAGGGCACCAGATTACCAAAGATTACCAAAGGCCATCCCTGCCACTATTCTCCCTCCTCTCTGTATCAGAGTACCTTTGCCCTGCCATTTTTGACCCATCTATGAAGTGGTCTTTCATCAGCAAACTAATCACCACCCAGGGAAATAAATATAAACAGCTAAACCTCTGAGGTGCATCATTACCCAACATGGCTGTTGCTGTTGTGTCAGGTGAATATGTACCTCTTCGCCCAGGCTTTTGAGGATGGCTAAGGCACACTGGGCTGGATTTTCATTCCTACTGCTGGTTTAATTTGTATGGAATTCATGTTTGCTATACTGTATATGTTTTAGATTTGTTCTGATTTTAATGTATTTCTGCTTTGATACCTATGAGTAAAGGGCAGAATATAAATATGGCAAATAAACAAGTGAATTAATAAAAGCGCCACCTGTCAATCTACCCAAACCCATTTCCACAGCAAACCCAGATTTGCTGTTCCCAAGGTGGCAGGGCTTTCCAGATTCCTGGTTCACACACTTGGAAGTGTGTGGCATTTCAAGCCAAATTCAGTAAAATTAAATGTATGCATCTAATAAAGAAAGCATTGGGAATTTAAAAGAGAGCTGAATATATTGGCCACACAATGTATCAGCACTGGAGATGCAGTCTTAAACTGTTATGTAACAGCAAAATGCTGGTGGCTGAACCTTTCCCTTTGTGTTCTAAGTACAGTGGTACCTCGGGTTAAGTACTTAATTCATTCCAAAGGTCCGTTCTTAACCTGAAACTGTTCTTAACCTAAAGCACCACTTTAGCTAATGGGGCCTCCCGCTTCCGCCGCCAGAGCACGATTTCTGTTCTCATCCTGAAGCAAAGATCTTAACCTGAGGTATTATTTCTGGGTTAGCAGAGTCTGTAACCTGAAGCGTATGTAACCTGAAGTGTATGTAACCTGAGGTACCACTGTACTAAAGATGTAACATGTAAGGTAAAGGTTGGGGAGAACCTTTGGCCCTCCAGATGTTGCTGAACTACTCCCATTAGCCCCAGAAAGCATGGCCAAAGGCCCCAGGGATGCTGGGAGTTATAGGTCAGCGACAACTGGAGGGACAGACCCCCCCCCCGTAAGGGATATTATCAATTCCTTTTCATTCTTTTTTTCTCCTACACAAGCTGGCTTGGACGCAATTCCCACTGAGTTCAATAGTATAAGTGTGCAATGTTGCATTGCAGTCTTGGAAAGTGTCCCATCAGGACTTTCTCTGCATGGATTAGTGTTTGTCCATCATCCTCTCACACCTGGACCCCTGAAATAAAGTGATTAAAGTCCTAAAAGCACAAGATAGGACCAAGCCCCACCTCCACCCGTCATCTGAGCACTGGACTTTTTAAAAAAAATACACAGAACATTGAGCTTGCTAAAGCTGTTGTTCTGAAACATCCTGTGTCACTGCTTAATTTGCCCCACTCATACGTCCCCACCCCCTTCCATTCCAGGTTCATTGTGCAATTATCCATCTTTAATTAATAAAAGCACAAGCTTTAACAACCCCACCAAACCTTGCTTTTTTCA